CCTAAACCTGTCAAAAGAAGAGAAACTGCAAGGAAAGGAGAGAAAATAGTAAACCCACAGGCAATTAAGAAGTCTGGGAAAAACAACTTCATCATAAATTTGTCAAAGGAGACAAAATCCACAAATTCTTATCTGAGAGCCCATTTACTGTATCATCTTGGTGCTAATTATATTAAACTTCCTTTCCATTAAAGGTCTTACCCACTAGAGTATGTTTTGTCTTGATGTAGCAGATGGCAGAAACTATTTAAAGCAGGCAGATTTGGGTGTTTTGGGGGTGGCCCTCACCCCTAATCTGTAACAGTTTCTCTAGGTGAATTGGGCTGAAGCGTGGCAGCTGGGTTGCTTGAGAGAATATTCCAATAGGCATGGACAGACTTTTTTAAGTTTTGTAATAACATAGACTTAAAAGTGCCACTTTCTAGTAGTAAAACAAAGTCATCTCAGGCTAAGGGTAGAGAAATTTAGATATAATTCTCAATTATAGTCCATCTCAACAGGAGGAAAGTAATGCATAATGGCCATCTTTTGAATTTTAAATATTGCCTGCAACTTAAAAGCTATAATTCTGTTCCTTGATAATCTTACAATATGTAAAAATTGAAAATACTTCATTTAATTTATGAAACTAATCCACCTGTGGGGATTGAAGGTGTATGTGTTTGATAGACTTAGTATAAATTGAGACAAGTGCTATTACATGTGAAAGTAAACCAGTCTAAAACCACAGACACCTAACACAACAAATTTACTTCGCTCACATGGCAGGTACAAAATTAGTCAGAAGGGAGTATGCTTATTGTGGTTGCTCAGGCATTCAGACTGATGGAGTTTTCATCTCATTAAACTCTTTCTCTAGGCACATTGCCAGAATCAGGGTAGCAGAGGGGAACACAGTACATTGCATCCGGAAACCTAAAGCTTCTGCCTTTCATGCACATCATTTTTCTTTTTTTAATGGGTCTCAAGTGGGTGCTATTTTTTGGGTCCATTCTTAGCTTTCCTGGCACTCAGGATCACTTTAGAGGCAGGAAATGCAATACCTTCCCAAGGCTGTCCTACTCATAAGCCATTGATAGGAACTTTTAGATGAACTCTAGACTCTGTTCCTTTATGAATTAAGATGACACACAAATTTATTAAGATGTATAGGCATGCCTCTCTATACACACTTTATCCTTCTTACATCCCACTGACCAAAGAATTCATAGCTCTGTCTATAGTCCTGCTATGTATTTCCTGAATGTTTTGGAATGGTCCTAATTGCTACATGCCATGTCATCTGAATTCCTATATATTAAGACCAGGTTGAATTGAAAGAAAATGTTATAGGGCACCCCAATTCTTTTAGAGGACAGGGGGAGAGAGAGGCATCCCTGAAGCCCCAAAACCTGCCTGCTCTGAGTGGGTTCTGCCATCCGCCGCAACAAGACAAAACATATAAAGCTTTAATGAAAAGTGACTTTAATACAGTGAATATACTGGGAGGAGTAAGGGAGGCTCCAGAGAAGGGGCAGCAAATTCCAAAGGGGACTAATCAGACATTCCCCTGACTGAGGTAGTGAAGACTAACAGAATATTCCCAGGCAAGAAGATAAAGAATAAAGGACTCTTAAGATAAGGGCTATAGAAGAAATTTTGCACACAAAGGTAGTAAGACAGAACTGAGAGCTAACCAACTACAAAGAGACTGATGGGGCTATAGAATAATTAGAGAAAACAGGTATACAGTCCCTGAGGCACTGCAGCTTCCCTTCCCCTCCCTGACCTGGTTCCAGGGGCCTGGGGGTGGGGGGCTCACTTTGTTTCTGTTCTTTCTCCTTAATAAACTTGTCCTTTTATCTATTTCTCTAAGCAGATTTGCTTCTTTGTTCTTGCTTGCCTGAGAATTAGTGACGTTTCTGCTTCAGCACTGTGAGACACCAACTGGTGGTAGTCTAGTGGCTAGGACCTAGCACTGCCAATACAGCCTGGGATCAATTTCTGGCTGGGTAAATAGACCTGAAAATCTGAAATTTTAATAACAGTCTCAACTGGGAGCTCACATGTTATTTCAAATTAGATATTGACTACCATCTAATAACTGTTATGAAGTTATTGAAGTTTTGACATACAGGATGTCTTCATATGGTTTGAAATTCACGCTCATTTGCATCTGGGAGAACAGCAGAGCTTGTACTGTAGTTTTGTAAATGGGTAGTCCCCAGGGAAAGGGGAGGTTCTAGCTCCCCTGCCCCACCCAATGGAGGGTGAAGTTGGGTAAGAAAAAGTTGGAGAAGAGACTAGAGAAGGAAGATGGAGAGCCAGGGGGAGAGACATGGAGCAGAGAGATGGGAAGAAGCTATGCTTGCTTCTTGGCCTTGGACTGTTGAAACAGCTGTGGGTGAGAGATCCATGGGAAGGTTAACAATGGCAGCATTTATCCTGATTTTGCTCCTTTTATCCCACATATGGTAGGCCCCTTTTGCCCCTTTCCCAAGGTACCCTCTAGTACTTTAGACTTGTGGCAGGCTTTCAGGCCCCAGAGACCCTGCTTTGGGACAACCCTGTTTGTATGGACATTTACCCACCAGGGCATGAGTATCTTTGTTACTGAACTCCGGTCTCAGTTTCCCTCAGCCAATAAAAGGAAACAGAGTTTGAGGAAAAGGAAAGTGGTTTTATTTGTCGACAAATGAGGAGGGCAACAGATTCATGTCTGAAAGACCACCGTTCTGCTCTTTGGCAAGTTACAGGGCTATTTATACAATGTTCAACAAAGAAAAGGGGAGGTGGGCAAGCGTCCCCAAAGGGGAGGGAGTAAAAGTTAGTGCTGGGATGGAGACCAGTGGGCACCAGCCTTTATTTACACAAAGACAAACAAAAATGGGGAATCGGCAAGAGTAATGGGGTGGGG